TGTGTGTGTATTTATTTTTTTCTTGCCAAGTAAAAATAAATAAATTAAAAAACAATTGTGGGCACAAGTGAGTGGGCCAGAATGGTAGAAAGCAGAAGATGAATGAGGACGCCTCATTCTTTGACAGCAGTGCAAATAAATTATTACTCTAAAGTCTTTATGGCATGCATTATAGCCTGACTTCTTTTATATCCTCCAGAAATCTGTGTTTAGACCTGATTCATTCTCTACAACTATTGGAAAAGCATAATGCAGATTTACATTAGATTAACACAACTATAGTTTATTACAGTTCTAATGATCCTTAGAAGAAATATAGCCAGGCTTTCAAACAGCTCTTTAAGGCTCACAAGAAAACAGTGGGTTAAATTCATTCTACTCTCTACAAGGAAGTCTCTGCCTCAGTGTAGGATTAAACCAAAGAGAAACAAAAAATACATAGAGAGGGACCAGAGGAAAGGAAAGGACAATTATGATTGTAAAATACAATTGAAGAAAAACTTAACAGTTTGTTAGCTGCATTTACAAAAGTTTAATTGGAGAGAAGAATCTTTTATGTTAATTTTGTATGTAGAGGTTGCTCATCTATATTTATTCCAAATTTATTATGAGTAAGATACCCAGCATGTAGGGCCTATAAGACAGAAGCTCTACTCTTGAGAAGCATACAGTCTTCTAAAGTTTGCCTTTTCAGTCTAGACTGATTTCTTTAGTGTTTAGTTAAACTTGTTTTTCACTAAGCTGAGCTTCTTAATATCTCTTTTCATCATTTTTACCACCTATTTTTTTAAGGTATGGAAGTCTCTGAAATACAAGGTCTAAGTGTGATTAAAAAGAACTTGCAAATTCTCTGAATGAATGTATGATTTTTACAAAGATAATTTTAAGTATTTTACCTTTACACATTTTCTAATCTTTATCCCACATTAGTACTAAGTAAGTTGCTTACTGTTTTTTGTCCCTTTTTTACAGCGTGTTTTGTAATAGTAGTCTCCGTAAACTGCTAGCAGGACACAACCAGTTGGCACGGTTGCCTGAAAGATTGGAGAGAACTTCAGTGGAGGTCTTAGATATACAGCACAACCAGCTCATTGAACTACCACCTAACCTTCTGCTGAAGGCCGACAGGTAAAGTAGTCTGTCTGTGTTGTGTATTTTTCTGAGTCTGTTCAGTACCCTTTGCTATTGTTTTTTTCTTCTATGATTTGAGACCATTTGTGGGGATTTTCACTTCTCTGAGCATTTTGTACGGGATGGACCCAAGGGTGTCTTCTAGATAATTCCTTTTGCTACTTTATGGGGAGAGGCGTGGATTACTTTGTGAATAAATGTGTGTCATAGGGAATGTAGATATAAATCAAGAATGAGAGGTCTACGTCCTATATTGTTACTGGTCAAAACTTGGGCAGGCTGGGCCAGGGATTTAGCTCAGTGGTTTTGCTGCCTGCTGTGCAAGCACAGGAACCCAAGTTTGATCCCTGGTACCAAAACAAAAAAAAAAAAACTTGGGCAGGCTGCTCTAGGTTTTAGTGTAATTATTTTATGATTTGCTGTTCCTCCTTTCCTGTATTTTTGACTTTTGTGACAGAGATGGATTTTCCTGAAGTTTTCTTAGTTCTTTTTTATCAGTCCTTCTTTACAATAATTTACCTTCATGCTTAGTACAGTAAGTGAAATTCTATTTTCTATGAACAGATATCACATACAGAACTTTCATTAAAGAGAACTTTTAAGTGTCAGTGGCTATTTGTTTACTTTGAAATGTTGAGTTTGCTTCAGAGCCCTTGTGTACCATGCTTAAAATGTTCCATAAGCTAGCGGCCTAAATCAGTTTGAATTCTGCTAATATTTTAGAGACATTAGGAAAGCACTTTTAGTGTACCTCATAATGAAGATATTTTGAAAAGTTTAATTTTGTGCTTTTACAAGCACAGAGAAGGAAATGAATATTTTTACCTTAAAAAATAAATTACTGATCTGTTTCAGCACATGTGATGTTATATGAGTAAAATAAAAATCTAAGAATCTGGCTTTCCCAACATGAATTATTTACCTTACCATGTCCTCCTAAATTCCTGTTCTTACTCTTGTCATAATACTTATCACACACTGTATTATATTTTCTTGTTCACTAGCTTCCCTCTGCTACTAGATTATTAACTCTGTTAAGTCAGTAACTGTATCCTAATTACATTGTTTATTCTTACTGTTTGTTTACTATATCTAAAAAACAGGAAAGTGCTCAACAAATAGTTGGTTAATGAATGATAGAAAATTTAACAATTATAAATATTAATATTTAATATTAAGCAGTCCTGACTTCATATTTTTGCCTTTTTTTCTTCTTAAAAATATTATCAAGATATAATTTGTACAGGTAAAGTACACAACTCTAAAGTGTATTGCTCAATGAATTTTTACATATATATCTATATGACTACATTTATCTATTTTACCTATTTCCCTGTAACCATTACCCCAATTAAGATATAGAACATTTCTAGTACTTCCTTCCTTTTCATTTTGTTCTGTTTTCCTCATAAAAATAAAAAAATTTCCGGTGTGCTCATGTAAGTTACAATGAATTTGTACTGGAATAATTATGAAGGATAATGAAACTGTGAGTAAATGATTGTTGTATTATAGTTGACCAGCAGTATATCATTCTCCTGACCAAAAGGGCCGTGTTTCAAGATCATTTAAAAATTTGTTTGTTTTTACATTCATAGCAAAGTATAATGGACAGGTGGAGATGAGCTCCAGAAGTGCTTTGTTGTTATAAATACTATGGAATTTTATTCTTTTCCTGTGTAGAATTATGTCATGTTGTAACCTTGTCCTTTTTTTAATAAGACTAATGAGGAAAGATTTGAGTGCCATTTTATAGTGAGAATATGCTTGTCTCCCTAGTGTTCTGTACTGAATTTACAGAACCAACTAAATGGATTCATGTTTTAGGAATCCTTGAGTGAGATAAAACCATTTCTGAATCTGGCCAAATCTGGTAAGTTCATGACTAATAGGTGAATGGTGCTGGAAACTTCAATAGATAATAATCATTCTTTATTTGTTTCTACAGATTTGGTTTTAAAACAATAATTCTACTTTTCATTCTCTAGAGACAGTCAGTAAGTAGTCGCTTGATGCCAGGGAAGACATGAAAAAATTTTGCTGGAGGAGTTTACCGGTTTAGTGGAGGAAAGTGTGTTTGCATGTGTAGACATGCTCAGACAAGGATTTGGGCAAGAGCAATTGTAGGTTGGTCCACAGGGATTCTGATAACATCTAGGATTGAAAAACGCTTGCTGCCTTCACTTTTGGTTTTGTGACCTCGTGCAGGTCATTCCAAGTCTCAGTGTTCTCATCTGACATGTTTGTACCATTCCCAGATGGAACCTGTTCTTTGGAAAAGGCAGAGTTTATGTAATGTAACATGGACAAATTAGGATGTGAAATGAACCACTCAAAGAGGATACTGCTATCATGAACCATATAAGTTAAGCTAGCAGTGTCAGCAAAAGACATTTAGGCAGAAATCCCTGTAGTTCAACTACAAGACTGGCCCATCTAGACCAGTGCATTTTAGAAAGTAGACACTAGTGTGTCTAGTCTTTGAGAGGAAGGCTAGTCTCTAAGAGGAAGGCGGGGGATGCTAAATGCATTTCCTGCACAGGCGAACTCTAGAGTAAAGGCTTGGGTGAATTAAAAGAAGGACTTCTAGTTTATAACAGAAAAGCAAATGATCAAAAAGGCAGAAATAAAAAGCTTTTCCAAGAAGGAATGTTCCAGTGCCTTTGTTTTCCAACCACTATAGTAGCTACATCTCTACAGTGGTAGCTACTGCTCTAATAGTTATGCCTGAGTCAGAAAGAAAGCTAAAGTGTTGGTTATCTCAGACAGTAGGGTAATAAAGGCAGCAGGGTAAAGTTGATTAGCTCTTTTTTAAACCTCAGTTTTTTTACTAGTTCACATGTTAGTATGAAAAAACAACATTTTTCTAGTGATTCTATTAAATTCCTCATTCTTAGAGGGTGGATACTTCTGCTTTGTACAACCTCAAAAATTAAAGCTTTATCTATCTGACTTTTATAGATTTTATGATGCAGTTTTTACTTAGGCATAATTTGCATTCAGGAAAATGTATGACATTGTACATACGGTGTGATGAATTTTGGGGGAAGGAATATACTGACAATTTTGGGGGAAGGAATAGCACTGACATCTATTAAAGCATGTCAACCCAGAAAGCATGACATTTAAAGCACTCAGGATGGCTTTTTAGGAAAGTCTTTGTGACAGTCTTCTTGCCAAGGGTGGTTTTAGTTGTGATTTGTTTTAGTTTATGGTTCAGCACAGCAAGCATCTCACTGACCTAGTAAATTTTAAATCTGTGCTAAGTACAGTAGAGCATGGAGAAAATGAATAAATACAGGTATTCTTAAGGAGCTTACACTCTAATGCAGAGTTTAAAGTACTCAATAATAAAAGTTAGATTTAAGAGAGTGTAGAGAAAATGGTAAGGCTAGTGTGGCATAGTTTAGGCTCATGGTGTAAGGAAAAATACTTTGTTTTATAATGCAACAAATTTGCTGTTTGTGTTTGACAAGTAGCATCAATGCATTAATGAAACTTGGCTTTAATACTCCTGTTTAGTTTACTTCATAATATAAATTTTAAATCCCAATATTCTTTTTTTTTTTTTTTTTGATACTGGGGATCGAACTCGGGTCCTTGTTCTTGCAAGGCAGGTGGCAGAACCACTGAGCTAAATCCCCAGCCCTTAAATCCCAGTATTCTGCTCAGCCCCTTAAATCCCAGTATTTTGCTCAGCTAAGGCAGAAGGATCACAAGTTTGAGCCCAGCCTGGGCAATTTAGCTACTTAGTAAGACCCTGTCTCAAACTTAAAAAAAAAAAAAAAAGCTTGGGATGTAGCTCAGTGCAAAGGCCCTATGTTAAATCCCCAGTACAGTACTGGGGTGGGTGGGACAGCAGTTGTACTTTTTTGGTATTTTTTAACATTGTTTATTTTGTGTTGGAGTATATAAAAGGAAGGGGCCTGAGTATAAGTCTTCATGTGTTAAAATGGTTTAGGTCACCCTCAAAGTAGAACTTGTCTTTGGAAGCCTCAGGAGGACAGTCTGAAAAACATGCATTGTTGGATACAGAGTAGAAGGCCAAATTTTGACCCTTTCCTAGGAGTTTTTGTTTGCTTTGATTGTTGCCTGCTAAATTCAGTCTTGTGGTTTTAATTACATGTTGTCGTCTGTTAAACATAATGATCTATGTTAATCTGCTACTCCCAGTATCAGCAAGGTATTTGGTAACCAAATAAGAAAAGGGATGCTACTTAAAATTAAATGATTTTAAGTCAAGTCTTCATCTTCCTCTGAAAAGTTTTACTAAAGTTCATATGACTTGAATCAGAAAATTTCAGGAATTTATTTTCCATATATATCTTTGAGTTTTATTTTGACTTGCTTTTCAGAAGTTGGCAGTTCTTTGCACACTGTATACTTATTGAAATGTTACTATACTCCATAAATATGTACAATTATTATCTACGTGTCTGTCTCTGTCTTTGCAGTACTCTGAATCAAACCCAGTGGCACTCTACCACTGAGCTACATTGCCAGCTCTTTAAAAAATTTTGAGGAATCTCACTGTATAGTCCAGGCTGGACTTGAACTTGTGATCCTCCTGCTTCAGGCTCCCTCAGTGCTTGGATTACAGGCAATCACCACCATGCCCAGCAACATGACAAATCCATTTTTAAGATAATAATGAAAAATAATAACCTTGCAGCTGAAAAACAAGACACATGAAATATGATGGACCATATATTGTAAGAAGTTGTGATTTTTGTCACAGGGTATGATTTGATTCTGTTGGGTAAACTGGCAGGTATTCTAATCTGGCTGTTACTGACCTGAATTTCTCATCTTACCTCTTCTTTTCTTTAAGTTGAAAATTTTCGTGATGGAAGTCCCGAAAGAGTTTAAGATAATTGGTTGTCATCAACAGATGGGTAGGAGAAGGAGTAGGTAATTCCCCATGGGTCACCAGAGTGGATGAGTCACTACCAGAAGTACTGCTATCCTTCTGTTCTTTCTGAAACTTGGCAGTGACT